AAAAAATCAGGTGCGTTGTGTTCCAAAGTGATCTCGCTTTTTGCTAACCCTTCCATGTTTTTGTGTGCTTTGTGTTCCAAAGTGACCCATGTTTTGTGTTCCAAAGCGAACTAAAACCCTGTGTTCCAAAGTGAACTAAAACTTGTGTTCTGAAGTGACCCCGCTTCCCTGTGGTAGTGCCTACCGGTGGTTGCACATGACATTGGTGCCACCACCAAATCGCTGCACAGCAGCGGCAGCGCAGCAGCTATGTTTCCATCTCCAGAAGAAGGCTGGACACGTCTTTGCTCTGACCTTTGGACACGTTGCTTCGCATGTGACTCTCGGGGAAACCGTTTCCCCACCAATCTGTCTAGCGTTCTTCTTTCAATCACTTCACCATAAGCCACCTTGAGCATGCTGGCTGGCAACTCTTTGGGGTCATCTGGAGATCTAATCGTGACCCACTGGGAAGTGTCACAATCCATTTCATGGAAGACTTTCTTGAAACCACGTACCATGGCATGCAAGACTAGCATCAGGAATGGTTGTCAAACCATGCACAACCAAGCCCACACAGCTTCTGACTCCTTGCTCACTAGCAGGCCTCGCCCCAAGCTTCCTCAGCCTGCCAGCCATGCATTTCCAATTCAGCTCCAAAGGCTTATAGGCTTATAGCATTCATTTGTGGTCAAATCAACAAAGGAGATGTTGTGTCTTGAGTGAGCCTTTCAGGGCTCACTTTGGTCACAGCATCTTCAACCAGAGCAATCGTCTTCTGATTTGCTTTTTGGAAGCAAGTTTTGGCATTGAATCACTGCTTGCCTACTTAATCGAATGGCCGAGCTTTGCCATGATCACTTTGGCCAAGGCATTCGCAAAGTCTTGTGTGTCTCTAGGCATGCTTTGCACCAAAGCACAGCCATCTTCCAGCTCTTTCAGAAGGTCTCAACTGACCACATGATGAACCAAGCCTTGAACGAAATGTTCTGACAGAAGCATAAATGAAACAACATGTGTGCAATTGTGTAGCGTTGCAAATACATGTCTCTTATAATATATAGGATGTCCTACTACTGTACTCGTTTGTAGTCTTCTGCAGTTTGCTTGCACTTTGTTTGCAACAACTGAGGCTCCAGCACTCACTCCCTGTGAAAAACAAAGAACAATTTCAGCCTATATAGCCACAACATGCCGCAACCTTGTAGTTGGTCTTTATTGCTGCATCCCGCTCTACCAATCCAACATTATTTTTACTGTAACAGGAATGGCAATGGTTTTAGGATTTGTCAGGTGAGGTTGGTGCAATCTTTGAGTTTGTTGGTTCTTGTGTGCTCTACTTAAAGCAAGAAAGACAAAGTACTCTGGTAAAGATGTGCCTATGACTATGACCATGTATGTTGAGGTTAACCTACACGGCGTTGAGTTGTGATTCTTTATTAGTGTTTGTTGCGCTTCGTGGCAATGTTTTTTTGCAACAGCTCGCTTCATGGCGTCAGGTTTGGGGCTCTCCCTTCGATGTACCGCCGGTGAACATCTCCAATCCTGGCCCAGGCCATGTGCCGCTTTGTTCTGACGTTGCTTGGATTTAAGATCCATTCGTTCATGGCAAGTGCATGAGCATTGAGAAGATCATGCATGAGGAAGCATGTGTTGTTTCATGCAAACCACTTTAGAGTTGCCTCGAACCCAATGTTGTCAACGCATGTGGTGTGTGCTAATTGATTGAATCTGAGATGTAGAGCGAAGGGGAAGGAAGTGTCAAGATACAAGTTCTTTTACAATAGCATACTTGCTCTATCGTATTGTTCATGTACAATTGCATGGTGCTATACAATGCACCCTGGATCAAAGGCCTTGAGCCTAGCCTAGCTGAAGAGGAAAACAATACAGAGACGTGCACAAACAAACGACCTACAAACAGCTGCTGAATTTTACATAGTAGCGGAGCAAGGGTCCTGGTAACAACAATCCAGGTGAGCTCCAATACAACAACAGGAACAGACACACAAACACAGACAACAGAGGACAAGCCTTGACCCTACAACAGGTAGCTTGTACAGCTGCAACAATGGCAGCACAACCAGCAGCAGCTCCAAATGGAGGAGACCACCTGCCTCCAGTTCCAGAAGACGAGACAGTTACAAACATGGCAAACATGAACAAATACAAACTCAAACCACCTTTCTTCAATGGAGACTATGGCACGTTCGAAGAATGGAAATACAAGTTACAGCATACATGGGATTGCAAGACAACGACTACACAGATTTGCTACAAGCAGCGGAACAGGCCACAGCAGAACTCACAGAGATACAATTACGAGCAGCGGCATCAACAATCGAAGATGGTGAACGACATGTTCGCCTCAGCACCGACTTGAGGTACATCCTCATCAACACAACAACAGGAGCAGCAGCTACAGTCTGCAGACAATACCAACACACAATTGGCTTCGAGATGTACCGACCCTTGTGCATCCGCTTCTCCATCCCATTGGGGACAAGATCCATACAAGATTGTTGAAACCAACATTTGACCAGAACAACTTCGAAGAATCATTTTCCACATGGGAATTTGAGCTACAACGATTTGAGCCAGACAATGGACAAACACTCCCAGACTCCGTGAAGCTTGCCGTATTGCTCAACGAGACAAGTGGACCACTACAACAACACCTACAACTGCTTTCAGGACAAAGCCCAAACTAGGCACGAGTCAAACAAACCATCATCGAGCACTACAGGTCAACAACAGCATTCAGCAAACTACAACAACTACGATCACAATCATCCAGTGTGGCGACAAGCTTCGGTGGAGGACAAGCACCTATGGACATTGGTGCAATCCACAAAGGAAAAGGTAAGTACAACAGTTACAAAGGAAAAGGGAAAGGAAAAGGAAAGAACAAAGGCAAAGGCTACGGAGGATACAACGGCTACGGATACAACAGTTACAACACCAACTACAAAGGAAAAGGAAAGTATGGAGGAAAAGCATTCAACAACTACAACAACAGTCCGATCGGCTTCGGCAATCCATTCGGAAGAGGCAACAAAGGATTCAGCAAAGGATATAACAAAGGCAAAGGAAAGAACAAAGGAAAACAAGCAACAGATACATGCTACAGATGTGGAAGAACAGGACACTATGCCAAAGATTGACGAGTGGCAATACACAACATTGGACAAGGAAAAAGCAATGACCTTGAAGACACGACAGCACAATGGTACGATGACTACTATGACAATGGATGGTACTGTCAGGACTACACGAGACAACAACAAGGACAACAGCCATTGGCACTTCCGCCAATTCCATCCACCAGCAACCACGATATGACACCAATCCATGTCACCGCCATGATCAGCAATGGCAATGACCACAAGACAGACACCACAAATAGCGGCACAACAGACACTATGCACATCATGATCGACAGTGGAGCAGCCACACATGTCTGCCCACTATGGTTTGCAGACAACTATCCAGTGTACAAGATTGACCAAGCACAAAGCCCAAACCTCAGGACAGTGACGAACAAGACAATCCAATGCTATGGAGTAAGATGGGTCTACATGCAATCAAGAGGACAACCAATTGTCATACCCTTCTATGTGTGTGACATTCATGACCCAATCCTGTCAGTGACAAGACTGGCAGAACAAGGCTTTGACATCAGGTTCAACGACACTCCCACAATGCGCCATGACAAGGGATTCAATGTTCCCTTGGTGCAGCAGCACAACCTCTATTACTTGCCAGCAACAATCATGAACCTAGGACAACATCAACAACTACAGCTGAGATATACACAAAAGGGCATGATTGCAATGATTGCCCCAACAACACTGACAAGACATGGACCACAACAAGTCCTTGGAGGCAACAGCGACGATTGGAACTACAACAATGAAGGATACCTTGTACGGTATCACCGGAACAAGAGAAAAGCTCTCTTTGTTCCTGGCGACAATTGCCCAGTACCACTGGAGACATTGAGCAACTACAGACGGACAATCATTCGACGAACAGACGGGAACAACGAAGACATTGTTGAACAATACCATGACTTGAGCAAGCACGAACAACGGCGAGTGATACAAGGAGACACATGGACAGGAGAAACATGGTTCAGAGTGAACAAGCCGCCAGCACAACCAGCAACTACAACAGCGAAGACAACAGAGCAGACAGAGATAGCACCACAGGCACAGCTAGCACGACATCAATCCACAACACTACGGCTCCCGGAACAAGACGGGACAACACAGCAGGTAAGCAGAGAGCCACTGTACAGACACACAACGAAGAAGCCAGCACCAACAACCACGGCAGTACCTGATCCATCCACAATGACACCAACAACAGACTAGTGGATCAGAGAAGGACACTACTGGAAACGAGTTCACGTACAGGTACGGACGACAATGTACGTACCACAACAAACAGACGATGGTCCAGACATTGGACGACTCAAATCGACACGGACAACATTCGTGAACAGAACGGAACAAGGAAGAGGATACACAATCCATGACAATTGGCACGAATCAGAAGCAAGACAGCTTGACAGACAATGGACTGGGCAACAAACTTCGAGGAAGAAGCGACGTACAAGTACGAGTACGACACGGACAATGAAGATGAATCTCAACAAGCACAACGCGCCAAAGGAATGAAGGATCAAAGGCCTTGAGCCTAGCCTAGCTGAAGAGGAAAACAATACAGAGACGTGCACAAACAAACGACTTACAAACAGCTGCTGAATTTTACAGGAAGGAGGGAGGGAGGGAGGGAGCATGCGACTCGCTTGGCTTGAGGACTTGAAGAACTCTTGTTTAAGCAGCTGATAGGTGATGCATTTGGTAAAATGTAGCATAAAGGCATTGAACTCATTTCAGATCATCCTTTGGGACCAGAACTTTTTTCTTCGAGCATTTCAGAAGGACAAGTCGATCTGAGGCTGTGCGTATCGAGAACCAGAACAACTCTTTGCTGTGTTACCGGAACACAAATTTCAACGTGTCGGAGATGAGCGCCAACCCCAATGTATTTGTTTCTTGACCAGTTTGTTGCATGAGGATGCTGAAGAAAAGCAGAATGCATCATTGTGCTGTGACTGTTAAGTGCCAGGTACCAAGCTGATCAAGGTTGTTAATTAGTCAACAAAATGACTCCGACGGTCCGACAGCCTAATCTCTGACTTTGGCACCAGTTGTCGACTGAGTTCATGTGACCTGTTTGTGACAACATCCTAATTTGTGAAGATCTTTGTTCAAGAGTTATATACGGTGTTTTTTAATAACCTTCCAATCTTGACTCACCAGTTCATCCACTGGATGATCCTACAACCGTGAAAAGCCGGAGCCAAAGAAATCTCGCAGCGCTGAGATCCAAACTGGCCCGGACCAAACCTCCTCGAACGTGCTCACGGGGGGCCTGACGATCGGCAACCCGCAAATCACTCAGCTGCTTGGTTTCAGTGATTAGGTTATATAGAGGCCATCGCTAGTAACAAGGGTCATCGCTACTATTAGCATTAGGGCATTACTAGTAGTAAGAAACTATCAGGTTGGAGGCCATCGCTAGTAGGTTTCGGAGGTCCAGAGGTCTCGACACCGAGATCCCAAAGACCGGACACCGCTCCGCGAGCGATGAGCGCCAAGGATCATCCGCAGCCACGAATTCGAGGTGGGCGAGATGACGCTGACCGTGGAAGGCACTGGCTTTGGTACCAACGCCAATGGGAACCTCGCAGCTAGGACGCACTTCTGTGCCCGTAGTGGCCACCCACCATTGATTCGGCGTGTGGAGGTTGCCCGTCTCCAATCTTAGGTGCAAGAAGAGTGGGTAGGTTGTGAAGGTGACAACGAGACAGGTTGATTCTTGGCAATCTCACTAACAGAGCGGGAACATGTTGGAAATTACACCCACGAATTCAATTCTTCATTGAAGATTCTGCTCAGCACGTTCGATTTTCACAAATGGTTACTCTAGTTACACGTGGGCGACTGACTGACAGGCAGTGACAGGCACCAATAGCCTGATGACTCAGCCTGAAGTGACGAGTGTTGAAACGGTCAAAGAGTGGCAAGATAGCGTGAAAACAGTGAAATACGGAGAAAGCAATGCCAGGAACCTCCTGACAAATCCAATGGGAACCCGATGATTTGTCCTATTGCAAAATTCTTTGAGTGCAGATGTTCGACAAGGGAAGGAAAAGCGCTTGTGCTAAGAATCAGTTTCTCGCACCAAATTCACTTCTTTTTCTTCAGCTCTTTGGGGCCAGTGGCATCAGTGACGGACGACTAGTGACGTGCGCCACATAAGCAGGTGTAAATAAGGCAACCACCCGCAATTCAGAGGCCATGACATGTTCAACAGAAATCACCATGCAGGTTTCACCTGCTGCTTAATTGTCAAAAAGAGAGGAATAGTTCTTAGTTCTTGCCTACCTGTTTGGCTCAGCTTCCCATCTGTGTCATGACTCATGATGTCAGTCCTTTCATGGAAAACTAAACTTCTCATCTCCACACTTGCAACCCTTCACCTTTAGGAAAGTAATGGTGTCCAAGTCTTAGATGAAACCAACAACATGTGTAAGTAGAAAGACAAATTAAAAGAAAGGAAGCTAAAAGAAGGAAAATGAAGCAAAGAGTGACAAGGAGTGACCATATGTGTTTTTGGTTTTGTTTTTCCAAGATAAAGAAATAAGTTAAGACATTCAATTCCACGCCTCGGTCTCGCTATTTTCCCCAGGTGGTCTCGCTGGAGAGCTTCGGCCCGCGGACCCCGGAAGTGCGTGACATTCGGCTGGCAGAGAACCTGGTTGAAGAATTGGGTGCCCCTGGCACCTTGGACGAACACAACGCTAAAAGCGAAACAGTCGCACAGACCAACCTGTAAAGAACCGACTGTAAGGCCTATATCGGGTTGAGAAGTTATCATTGGGTGCTATATTAAGGGCTTACGCCCGTAGAGCCAGCCGGCCAGGGGCCCACAACTGGGGAGGGGGAACGAGTTGTAGAAACAAAAACAGCCGCCCAACATAGTTGTCACACGTTGTAAATCTGGAACTTCACAGGGACAAGGTTAGGGTTACGGTTGAAGGTGTGAGGGAATGTTGGTTTCATAAGTAGCTGGGCTTCTTGGACTTGTTTCACTGAAGTTTGGGCTGGTCCAAGTCCATGTTTAGCGTTCTTGAGGTGTTGTTCTGGTGGGGCTCAAAAGCAACAATGGGGCAGTCTTTGTTTCTAGGACGGGGTAGAGACAACAACTCCTTTAGAGGGGAGGGTGCAAGAAACAATACAAAAGAAACACAACCACGGGGCTCCAGCTTTTTGCCTCTAAGATGTGGCACCGGTTCCTATAGGTGGTGCTGGTGGCGGTGGTGGTGGTGGTGGTAATAGTGGTTGTTGCTGTTGTAGGAAGAAGACGGAGAAGAAGACGAAGACGAAGACGAAGACGAAGACGAAGAAGAAGAAGAAGAAGAAGAAGTGGAAGAAGTGTATTGACAGGGCTGCAGTGTTTGTTTGTACTTTCTTGTTGTTGCTATTGTTGTTGGTGGTGGTGGTGGTGGGTCGGTGTGTATGTGTGTGTGTGTGTGAGGCCAGGGTGGGCTTTGCTGACCCATCTTGGAGCTATGTTGGCGTAGCTTGCAGCTATGTTCATGTTGGGGCCATCTTCGGGCGATGTTGGGCCTCCGGAGGAAACCCTCCGGAGGACACGGCAGGACTTAATGGCCCGCTCCGTTTCCCGCCGACCCACAATGGCACACAGTGCCAGACATAGGTTTGGAGACCACATGACTGCATGGCCGCATTGCTTGCAACAGTGGCAAACGGTAAATGCTAACAAGTGAGTTGGAGAGAGGGGATCGGAACCAGAGAGGGGCCAGGATAGGTTCTGGGCAGAGCATGGCCCGAGGAAACCCTCCAACAATCGTACGCTGCGGCTAGAAATTAGCACCTTGAAGGAGGTCATCGGTGCCAAACAGGGCTCCCTGCCAGGCACTGTTAGAGTGTGTAAAAGTACGCATGATTGAATTTGCGGCGGTTGCACTGAGGAATGTTCTGTCGTTGGGGCGTGCTTGGCTGAACAGCCAGGAAAAGAGAAGTGCCTGTTGTGGTGTTTCAGGTTATGGTGCTGTGAAACGGAGCAAGCGCGCAGGGGCGCCCAAGGAAAACTTACAATAGTGCTGCTAACACGCGTGCTACAATACCTTATGCCCGCTGCTGTGGAAGGGAGGGAGGGCTGGGTGAAGTGTGCGATGTCACCAACTCCGCGCTGGGGACAATGTTAAAGCCAAAATATAGCATTGGTTGTCAAACAGACAAAACCATGTTGCCACAAGACACGCCTCACCCCTGGCGACGCAGAGGGTCGGCGGGTTGATTTTCAAAGACAATGTGACATAAGGGTTTCTTCCGTGGATAATTAGGAGGCTCACCGAATGAATTGTTTATTAGGTGTTTGGCTGGTGAATCCTTTCATTTCATGAATCTAGCGTGGTTCCTTGGCATGTATGACGGGATGGAAGCAAGTTCTGCTAGCCGAGATTACGTGACGAACTGCCAGATCGTGACCCACGAGGAGACCGTGACGGATGTCAAGTCAATACACTGTGAACTTGGTGACCTTGATTGTGGCAAGCGCGTTTGTTTACCATGTTTTTTGGAGCAAACTGGCTTACAGCATTTAACAGCTAGCATTGTTGCAGTCAAACAAAAGCCTGGAAACGAGCTGCCAACTCCGGTGATCAAGTGGTCTCACAGAATCCCAGTATGACAGGCCCTTGAAATCCTTATGAAAAGCCAAATTTCTTTTCCACGTCATGAATGATCCCACAAAACGAAATCGGAACCTCGGTCCGACTCGGTCCAAAAAGAATCCAAACTTGAAGTTACAGTCCCAGAAGTTTGCTATTTATGTGTTCGTTCGTATGGTTAGAATTGGCAATACGGCATGTGAGGCATTGAGCATTGTTCTGCTTTGGTCACCGGGAAGTAGAGCCAGAGGAAGGACATGTGTGATATTTATATGTCACTTGCAGAGCCCAGCTGTGTGCCTTCTTTTGTTCATTTTTGTGCAGCTCTCACAGAAAGTTTAAGCAAAGCGGTGCCCCTTCCTTCTCACTTTTGTTTTCGTTCCCCAAACAGTTTACTGTTGGGGTTCTATCTTAGAAAAATAGAGCTGGCCACACTCACTGGCCGCGCCCCTGAACTCTGTGGCTGGGCTCTGTGCCCCGGCTCTGTGTCCGGGCCTTCTCCTCCTCTTGTCCTTGTCTTGGCCGCGCCCCTGAACTCTGTGGCCCGGCTCTTGTCCTCCTCTTGTCCTTGTCTTGGCCGCGCCCCTGAACTCTGTGGCTGGGCTCTGTGGCCTGGCTCTGTGTCCGGGTCTTGTCCTTGTCTTGGCCGCGCCCCTGAACTCTGTGGCCCGGCTTTTGTCCTCCTCTTGTCCTTGTCTTGGCCGCGCCCCTGAACTCTGTGGCTGGGCTCTGTGGCCCGGCTCTGTGTCCGGGTCTTGTCCTTGACTTGGCCGCGCCCCTGAACTCTGTGGCTGCGCTCTGTGGCCCGGCTCTGTGTCCGGGCGTGCAGTTCCCAAACAGCTGGAGGCATTCGTGCATTCGCTTCCACCAACATGGAATTTTCGGAGTTGACGCCGACGCCAAAAAAATGCTGACGCTGTTTAGGGTCTATGCTGGTATAATATTGAAACCCATGTAGGATGAAATAGCTTAAGTTGTGGGAGTCTCAGGCTCACATGTTGAGATTTTGACAATCCCAACAATCCCAAACCACACGGCTCACATATGCTCACATGGTCATGTTTTAGATTGAACCTTTGTGTCCATGAGGTGCACCGAAGGTTCAGTTTCACGAAGGTGCTTTCAGCTCACTTGCAATGGCGAGGACACTCGCATCGAATCCAAGTGTGTCACCTCGGAAACCCAGAGTGTCTTGGGAGCGGAGGTCAATGAACGTTGCTTGGTGCTTGAAGAGTTTTCTCAGGCACAGGTACTCGAAGAAGCTCATGTTTGTGGACGTTTCGGTGTTCTTCTTGTGCCCCAAGAAATCATTTGGGGGACAACTGAGTCACGATTCTGACAATGTTTGATCGGCTGAGATATAAATAGAGGCTAAACAAAGTTCCATACTGATTCAGGTTTTTGTGACTTCACCACACCAAAGAAATTCGCATGGTTTGCTCCAAATTGATTCAAGTAGTATTCCTTGTACGTCATGAACAGAAAGAATGGTGAATAGCGCTGGACAAGGGTTGTATTGACCCTGACATCTGGCGGCCCAGTTTTCTACAGGGAGAAAGTGGAGGAGGAGGGTGGTGGCAACGGTCGCCGACTTCAGCAGGATCTGACTGAGCCACCTGTCAACGACGGGTGTGGCAGGTGTGTGGTCGATCGGGTTCAGGAATGGATGGCATTGCCGGCATCAGGGACCTGATTCGGCATGAAGAAATGCCACGTGCGAGGCAAATCAACACCACTTAGTAGCATAACTTCAACAATTCCGGTTGAGAACGGAGAGGAGAAAACCTATGAAAAATGTTGTTTCTTTTGGAAATTTGATAAAAACATATCTTTGCACCTGTATGACCATGCTTTTCAGCACCCTGCACGCCCTTCCATACGCAGGTTGGCGCTGAAGCTCACCCCACTGCCCGTGGCCATCACGGTCTCATATGAGCGACTTGATGAGCGCATATCCGAAAACGATCCAACTTTGAGAAGCATTTGATTGATACCCAGATTCCAGCACATCCCAGTCATCACAGTACAAAGGGATCGTATTGATCTTGGGAAGAAATTAATCAAATCCTTATCAAAAGTGTCGTAACCGGTCTGGAGAGTCTGGCCATGTTCGAGTTTCGTTGGAAAGAAAACAAAAAGATGCCAATGTTGTTCCTAGGAACTCGCCTAAATGTACTGGATTGACTGGTTGGATCGGTTCGATCCTGGAGTGGCCGAAAGAGTATGTATTCGGCAAAATCTGGCTATTGGCATTCCATCCAGACATTGATGGATCACCATATTCTCTTTTCAATCATAGTGATTCCTCTTGGACCCCAAAATAAGAATACGGGACCCTGCCACTCAGGAGGGGTTCTGCTGTTTGGAAGCCCATATCAAAGGGGACAAAAACCAGCGAAGGAATTGCGCCATGCACTGCAAGTGCTCATTGGAGCAAAAGCTATGTTTGAACCATCAGTCGGATTTGTCTCTGCTGTGTGACAGTGGCTTCTCATCCCAACGGTGCATCTTTTGTGGGGCTGCCTGCATTTCGGAACAAGTAGGGGGATCAGCCATTTTCTGAGGCTGGACTGCACTGTTCTTGAAAGGCGGGAGGGAGCCCCGTTGTGGCACCGCCAATCAAACTTATCAATACCTTCTAATAGCAATGGCCTCCAACCTACTAGCGATGGCCTCCAACCTAAAAGGCCTTATGTTTCCCTAAAAATCTAGGAACCAATCATGCGCAGGGTTCTTTGGCCTTCTGTGTTCCAAGCCTAGTAGCTACTTAAGCTACCAGTTTCTTCTGAATCGCTCGTTCCCTTCCCCAAAACTTATCACTGGTTATATAATCACGACAAATAGGTGTTTGTGTATGTATATATCCCCAAAACACAAAATCCTGCCCTTCAAAAAAGGGTGCACATATATCTATATACGCATATAATCTTGAAAGCGCACATGGTGCTGCTTCATGGGGTGCTTCTTCATTGCAGTCATATTCACACTAAAACCTACTAAATTCCTATGAAATTCCTTTGAAGGGCTATGAAGGGAAAATGGTGGGAATGTGTTAGGATTTTGTGGGTTTTGGTCAGTCAGAGTCTCAGCCAGTTCCTTCTGAAGCCCATTTTCAGGCTCAGGGTTTGAACTTGGAAGGTGACACCATGCCATCCAGAAGGAGGAAGGCAGTGCCTGGTAGGTGCAGCCTACCAATGGGCTATGCTCACCCAATGGAGCTGATGCAACAGGGCTTTCAGGTACCAACCTGGATGAGAGGACAAATGATGCCCCAGCAGATGATGGTGGAGAACCAGGAGCCTGGGGAGAGTGATGATGAATCTTCATCTTCGACCCTTGGTTATAGTAACATGGGGTGACACATGCACAGGGTTATTTACAGTGGCAGGCAGGCTTCACAGACAGATTTCAGCAAATGGGTGTTTGATTTGAGTGTAGGTGTTTGTGAGGGCAGTGTAGCCACTCAGTCAATGGTGACCACTGAGGAAGTCAAGTGGTGGCAAGTCTTCCAAAAGGAAGGATGCCAAGAGAAGGAGGAAAAGTGGAAAGACTGAGAAGAAAACCAAGAAGAAGACTGGGAAGTCAAAAGACAAGAATGGTAGCCACTTGACCCTCTTTAAATTTGGCCTAGTCAATCCAGTGAGTGTTGTGTGTTACCAAAACAATTGTGTATGAACAGAATGACATGGGGCCTCAAATAAATATAATATAGTTAGCTAACATAGTTCAATTCCAAGGTCCAAGGTCCAAGCTTTGAGCAGTCAGTGACCAAAAAAGGACCCTTTCTTCCACCATGCAATGCAGCTCACCAATGGTTGAGGCTCAGACTCTGAGACAGACTCTTCTGATGTAATCGATGAGGATGAGCTGGATAAAAA